TCCTTTGGGTTTGTGCGCCGCCCTGAGTCCCGCCGGGAATAGGGCGGCATATAAATAAAATGAACCTTGAACCTTGAATTAAGAAGGTGGTTGAGTGATCGATAGATGTGTGATAGAAAGGAGGAAAGATGTGAAAACAGAGCATCTTTGGCTGCCTCACAAACCACCAATGGTCCTACTCCCAGGCTTGTTGTGTAAAAATATGCAATGGAGAAGGAAAAAGGAGTCCAGAGGGAAAAGATAAAGAAGATAAATTTAGCTGGAGTTCCTCAAATGTTATGATTCTTCTACTGGCCAGCAATAGTGGAAATGGGTTTGTGGTCACCTGATTGGAAGTCCTACTTGTTTGTCATGGAATCCTTAGTTTTGATGTACTTTGAAAAAAAAATCAGGTGGCCTGTCATCCAAATACGATGACATTTTTCTTAATGTTGTTTTCAACATTAAAAATGCAGTAGGATTTTTTCCCCCTCCAATCTAATCTTTTGAATATAGGATATCACTGTTGTCAAGTCCATGAAAAGCCCCCCCGCTGGTGTGAAACTTGTTATGGAAGCCATTTGCATCCTGAAAGGGATTAAGGCGGATAAAATTCCAGATCCAACAGGCACTGGAAAAAAGATGGAAGATTTCTGGGGCCCAGCTAAGAAACTCCTTGGGGACATGAGATTTCTGCAATCACTTCATGAGTATGACAAGGACAACATACCTCCAGCTTACATGAATATCATTAGAAAACAGTACATCACTAATCCGGAGTTTGTCCCTGAAAAAGTTCGGAATGCTTCCACAGCTGCTGAAGGCCTGTGCAAGTGGGTCATAGCCATGGACTCCTACGATAAGTAAGTAACAGTTTCAAATCATAATGTAAATGAAGAACATTGGGCTGGCCTACAGGGAGGTGACTTTTGTGACTCTTTCTTCTCCCCAAGCGGCGATAGAAATTTGCGGGAATACCGATATATACTGTCTCCTTTACGAATAGAGAATATGGCAACATCATCTTGTTTTCGGTGTATTTCCAAATACATATGGGAGCTGGCAGCCATCCAGATTCATACAAATTAATTTTGCAGATTTGTCATTTACAGAAATTTGTACTTTTTCTACTAATTACGGTATACCCACAATTCTCTTTTTCTTCTAGTTCTGTATACACAGCCCTGGTCTTGAGTTGGGAGCTGATTCCCCCAGGGAATTCCCAAGCAGGATCTCTTTTGGTTCTTAGTTCAAACCAGCCTGTTGCCAAGTATTCCACCATCAAGGGGCACCGATGGGTGTTTTCCTTGCTTTTCTGCGGCATCTAAAAATGAAAATAATAAAGAATCCCATATGTATAACACTGGTACAATGATAACATTAAATGACAACAAGCTATTTTACTCAATGGTTAGGAATCATCCAGTCTATCCTCTCCCTTGTAAAATCAATCAAGCGTTCTCTTTAATGTTACAGAAGACTTTTAAAACCCAAACAGTCCAACTCCTTGTCTTGACAAATGGATTCAAATAGAACAGCTTTCTCTACAAAGTATCCTACAATACATAGAATTTGCTCTCTTTCTCTGAGTTTGCTCAATCCCTTCTGAATTACATCCTCTCCAGTGGTGGGTTTCAAAAATTTTTGGAACCTACTCTGTGAGTGTGGCCTACTTTGTGGGAGTGGCTTGCCATCCATGTGACCTGGTGGGAATGGCTTGCTGGCCATGTGACTGGGTGGGAGTGGCTTGCCAGCTATGTGACCGGGTGGGAGTGGCTCAGTGGTGGGATTCAAATAATTTAACAACCGATTCCAATTCTGCCCTAATGACCAGATGGGTAGGCGTGGCTTGGTGGTCTTGTGACTGGATGGGTGTGGCCAACTCAATGTCACTCAGGTCAATGGGCGCTTCGCCTTAGCTGTTACAATGTAATAAGGGT